AAAACGTATACCTCACCTGTATGTCAGAAATGGCAGACATCCAGCCCATGAAAAGTTCCTCTCAAAAAGAACTTAAAACCTGGATATCCCAAGCCATAGCTGAAGGCTCAAGGCTTCTACAAAACACACCTCCTCTCGAAAATGTCATAGAGCTGAATCCTCTTCTCCCTCATCTGAGTCTGAGCTGGACACCTTTGAGGATATTTCTGACGAAGAGGTGGAGGATAACGGAGTATGGCCAGGGCCGGATTAACATAGGGGCTGATGGAGCTGCAGCTCCACGCCCAGGCCCAGGCCCATGGAATAGGCCCATTGATTTAAAAAAAAAAATGTGTGTGTGTATATATATATATATATATATATTTACATTTTTTTTTTTTTCCCCCACACACTACTCTTAGGGATTCCACCTGGCTTTTATTTTATTGGCACAGCCAGTATTTGAGGCTGCCTGGCTGGTGCCAATATTGCAGTGATACTGGCAATACAAATGCTGGTATTTTTTCTCATAGATTACTATGCAATACCAGCACTGGCCAGTAGGGGTCGCTGTATGTGGAGACAGGCAGGGATAGGAAGTTCCAGCATATCCCTCCCTGCCTATCTATACTCACTGATCTGCAGGGGTGCAGCTACAGAGAGTCCAGACAGCAACTCCCACCCTGCAGACAGCCTATAGCTCAGGGAAGTAAGGGATGGGGGAAAGGCTGCAAGGAGACATACCCTGAGACACTAAGGGACATTGGGAGACATGACACAGACACATGCGGACACAGTGTCCCCATGTCTCCCAGCCAGTGTCCCTGGTGTCTCAGTGCCCCCTAGTCTCCCAGTGACCCCTAGTCTCCCAGTGCCCCCAGTCTGCCAGTGTCTCACTGTCCCCATGTCTCGTAGTGCCTCCATGTCTCTCAGTGCCTCAAGTGTCATAATGTCCCCATGTCTCCAAGCTAGTGTCTGTGGCCCTGGTGTCTCAGTGCCCCCATGTCTCAATGTCCCCATGTCCCCCAGCCAGTGTCTCTAGTGTCTGTGTCCCTGGTGTCTGTGTCCCCATGTCTTCAAGTGTCCCCTATTTTCCCATTGTCCCCATGTGTCCCAGCCAGAGTCCCCTAGTCTCCCAGTGTCACTGGTGTCTCCGTGTCCCTAGGTCTCCCCGTGTCCCCAGGCCCCCCGTCTTTCTAGTGTCCTAGTGACATGGGGACCCTGGAATACATGGGGACACAGGGAGACATGGGGCATTGAGACACTGTGATACATAGGAACACTGAGACCAGGAGTAATTGACACATGGGAGCACTGAGTCATGAGGGCACTGGGAGACATGGGCGCACTGGGAGGAATCCATCTATACAGCAGAATCAAACTAAGTTGTTTTTTGGTGATTTTACAGCATTTTCTCTTATGTCACTCCTTGTGATTTACATCATGTGATGTCACCCATAGATATTTAATTATGCAAATTAGTAAGGCTGGTATGTTTTTCCAAGAAAGGTGGCAACCCTAACTACTTTTCACATACTCTTACTTAAATATGGAAACTTAAAAGGGATGCATGGGAACAAAACTTGTGTGGACTGGCTGACAATGAATATAGTTAAAGGGACACTATAGTCACCAGAACAACTACAGCTTATTGAATTTGTTCTAGTGAGTAGAATCATTACCGTCAGGCTTTTTGCTGTAAACACTGTCTTTTCAGAGAAAATGCAGTCTTTACATTACTTCTAGTGATAACCTCACTGGCCACTTCTTAGATGACTGTTAGAGATCCTTCCTGGGTCATGGCTGCCTAAAATGCATCCAAACATTCAGTGTCTCCTCCCTCTGCATGCAGACACTGAACTTTCCTCATAGAGATTCATTAATTCAATTCATCTATATAAGGAGATGCTGATTGACCAGGGCTGTGTTTGAATCATGCTGGCTCTTTGTCAGTCTCAGCCAATCCTATGGGGAAGCACTGTGATTGGATCAGGCCACCACTTCTAATGATATCAGCAGACTGCTTGTTTTTATGAGTCTAACAGCATGCAGAGTTACAGCTTCAGGCTTGAATATAGTAATATTTTGCTATATTTATGGAGGCATGAGGGGCCCAGGTGGTCATAGGGTCATGAATTCATGTTTGTGTTCCTGACCCTATAGTGATCCTTTAAGGTAAGGCTGACTTTGGTCTCTCTAACACTGTGGCATGTTCCCTTTCTTCTACACTCACTACAAACAGCTTTTCTCTGTCCCAGACTATATACCAGGAGCTTCTGCCTGCTAGTAAGACGGTAAGGAGACAAGTGGACCAGCGAGTGCTAGGGGACAGTCCTTAGAAAGCGTTGAGTGAGCGCATCATTAGATGCATTTATGCCAAGCTCAGGGTGCTGTCTGCATAGTATGCCCTTAGTTGGCCAGCTGCATGATTGGCAGGCAGCCTGACATGCATTCATGCCAGGCTGGCCTTCTAATTCTTTGAGCAGACATGTCCTCTTTTTGGGCATGTTCGCCCCTTTTGGCAGGTTACGTGATTTGTGTCAGTGGCACACCCTTTTACCATGTCCATTGACTTCCTGCTTGACTGGACACTGCTGTTAGGGGTTATGGATTTACTTGAAAGATGAAACATAAATTAGAGAGAGATTAGCCTAGGGTATGTGTTTTCTTATAGCTGCTGTTTTCTTTCTCTCCAGCACCATCTCCATCAGATACATGACGCTTGGGAGTGTTTTACTGTTTTTGGTCTATATGGTTCTGTAATTAGGCCCGTCATAATTGTCAGCACCAGGCCCACTGGGCTCTCAATCTGGCCCTGAGTATGGCCCTAAATCCTTAGACTCCAAATCTGTTGAGAAGCTGATCTTCTTAATAAGGAATACCTTAAAATTACAGGAAGAAAAGACAGAATCCCAAGAATCCAACAAGACCTCATATCTTCCAAACCCTCATTTCCAGTGCATCCTTCTATTAAGGATATGATCCTTAATGAATGGGCCAGACCAAAGAAGAAAGTTACCCTAAAAAATAAGAATCCGAGGAAATATCCCTTCACCTCCAAGGATTGCAAAACTTGGATTGCAATCCCAAAAATAGACGCGGCGGTAATAAAAATTGTGAAACGTAATACGCTTCCCATTGACTCCATGGCATATTTAAGGGAACCTATGGAGAAAAGACTGGATGCAAACCTAACAAAAGCCTATCTGTCTTTGGGCTCAGCCTTACACCCAGCCATAGCTCTTACCACCCTGTCCAGAGCTATGAAAGTTTGGTTAGACAACCTGGAAGAAGATATCCAAAGAGGTGTAAGAAGAGAACGCCTTCGGGACAACCTTAGGGATTTTAGACTTGCAGCAGATTTCAGTTCCAAAGCATCCCTGGATTTATCCAAAATGATTGCCAAAAGCATGCCATTATCTGTCTCAACCAGCAGAGTCCTTTGGCTACACTCTTGGGGAGCTGACTACTCTTCAAAAGCCTCCCTTTGCACGCTTCCCTTCCAGGGTGATCTACTCTTTGGAAAAGTCCTTGATGAGGCCATCCAAAAAGCTGCAGACAGCAAGAAAGCTTTCCTACCTCAAGTGAAGAGAAATCCATTCTCGACCTCATGGAAAGATAAGCGGTTTCGTGACAAGTAGTATCGAGATGATAGATCATATCGATCAGGGAAAGAATATATCCTATCAGCCTACTTCCTCTAACTCTAAAACCAACAGAGGGAGAGGATCTAGAGTCCCTTCTAAAAACTTCTGAAGGTTTACAGGCCCATACAGACTACTTAGGAGGAAGACTTCATAATTTCTGATCTGTCTGGGCCACGAATATTTCAGATTCATGGGTTATGTCCTCAAGACTACAGAATCGAATTCAACTCTTTCCTCCAATCAACAATAAGGTCAAGAAAACTGTCAGGAGAAAAAGGGGAAGCCTTGATTGCAGGCGTCACAAAACTACTTCTCCAAGGTGTTATAAAAGGCATCTATTCGACAGTGTTCTTGGTCCCAAAATCCAACTGGAAATGGAGACTGATTATAGATCCGAAAAACACCAACGTATTTTTGAACCGCCTATCATTCAAGATGGAATCCATATCCACTAATATTTCCAACATCAACAGAGGGGATTGGCTAATGTCCATAGACCTGAGGGTTGCATATTACCATATATCCATCTACCCTCTCCAATGCAAATTCCTCTGAATTCATATATTAGGACAGCATTACCAATTCAGAGGCCTTCCTTTTGGCTTAAGCCTTGCCCCAAGGACCTTCTCAAAAATCTTAGTGGTTCTTAAAGGACATCTAAGACAACAAGGTCGAGCCATATTTTACTATCTAGACGACATATTATTAGTTGCTCCATCACTTTAGGAAGCTTCTCTTCACACTACACATGCCCTGAACTGTCTACAAGAACACGGTTGGATTATCAACAAGGAGAAGAGTTCTCTGGATCCTTCTCAACACACAATTTTATAGCATGACAGTAGGCTTCATATTTGCTTAAGTCTCTTTACTAGAACTCCACAGCAGCACATTAACATAGAGATAAAAACACCAGAGACAAAAAATCAGGAATCTATAAAAGGCTTCTCCCAACTAACTATTTCCTCTTTTTTTGCTTCTCCGCAGTTAGTACAGGTCAGAGTACCACTGCCTCCTGTTACATATGGGTGGTTGTGGATATTTTACTGTATTTATATGTTTATTACTGTATTGATTTATTTGTTTAGAGGCTATTTTTGCATCTACCTACTTTATGCTGTATGGATTGATTTATTTAACTATACTGTATTTTCTACATCTACCTTCTTAGTGCTCTAGTGATTGATTTATTTAGCTAATCTGTATTTTCTTCACCTACCTGCTTAGTGCTGTAGTGATTGCTTGCTTGATTGATTTATTTACTCTGTTTTTCTGCATCTACCTTTATATGGCTGCAGGGATTTATTTGTTTAGAATGTGTTTACCTTCCTACTGCCGTTATGATTTATTTATAAAGATTGTATTTTTCTGTCCCTACTTTTTTGCTGTAGGGATGTATTTTCTCTTATGAATTTTCTGCATTTTCCTGTTCTGGGCCCCCCTGTCTCGGGGTCGTTTTTTGCCCCCTTCACTTTTCGTCTGTTTTGCGGCCGCCTGAAAGCGGTCCTCCGACCGCTTCCCGTTGCCGACCGTTTGGACCCCGGAGTAAGACTCAGGTGGTCCCACGTGTTGGATCCCACCCGCCGACTCCATCCGTCTGTATAACTGCTCCCGCGGCGTGGGTGGGGGTATTACCAGTGCCGGCCTGTTACCAGACTTACCGCATTAGTTCTGTCGATGGCAGGCACATGTGCTGTAGCTTTGACTGGGACTCAGCTATGACTTGGGCACATTGCACCCTCAGGCTGTCCTGGCTTTGTGCCCCATGTGGCTGGCAGGTTAGGCTACTGGGGACCATAGTGGATGAAATAGATCACAGGCATGCTATATAGAGCTGTGCACAAACCCTCAGGGTTACCACTTATACTCATCCCCCCCCCCTTTTTGTTTGTTCATATGATTGCTTGCAGCGCTCTGTTTTATCATATTGACCAATGGAGCACCTCTTATTAGGTAACTCAGTTGGTGAGATCCCTGACTACAGGTGTACTCAATATGCAAGTTCACTATTTACGGAGTGTCAGGCACTATTTAACTGAAGTGCGTTATCTACAGTTACACAATGGAATGCAAAGTACAGTCACACAGAAGAATGCTATGTACAGTTACACAGAAGAATGCCATGTACAGTCACACAGAAGAATGCTATGTACAGTTACAGTAGCAGGCTATGTACAGTTACACAGTAGATTGCTATGTACAGTCACACAGAATAATGCTATGCACAGTTACACAGAAGAATTCTATGTACAGTTACACAGGAGAATGCTATGTACAGTTACACAGTAGATTGCTATGTACAGTCACACAGAATAATGCTATGCACAGTTACACAGAAGAATGCTATGTACAGTTACACAGGAGAATGCTATGTACAGTTACACAGTAGAAGGCTATGTACAGTTACACAGTAATATACTATGTACAGTTACACAGAAGAATGCTATGTACAGTTACACAGAAGAATGCTATGTACGTACAGTTACACGGAAGAGTGTTATGTACAGTTACACGGAAGAGTAAAGTACGTACAGTTACACGGAAGAGTGCTATGTATAGTTACACGGAAGAGTGTTATGTACGTACAGTTACACAGAAGAGTTTATGTACAGTTACACGGAAGAGTGTTATGTACAGTTACACGGAAGAGCGTTAGGTACGGTTACACAGAAGAACATATTTTATGTTTACAGAGAAGGATGTTATGTACTGCTGCACAGAAGAGTTTTATGTACAGTTACACAGAAGAAGGTTATGTACGGTTACACAGAAGAAGGTTACGTACAGTTACACAGAAGAGTGTTAATTACAGTTACACAGAAGTGTGTTATGTGCTATTAATCTGAAGAAGTGTTATGTACATCTTATCTGAAGAGCGGAAGGTACATTTTATCGGAAGAATGGAATGTGCAGTTCCTCACCAGTACATCTCTAAAGGTCCTGACTTGTCTGTGCCCCAGGACTTGGCCGGCTTTGTCTGTGCCTTACTGATTGGCCTGCTCTGCCTATGCCCCATTGATCTGGCCTGTGCTGTCTGTGCCAGAATGTCTGCATGCCAAGCCTACTGCCACATACTCATGCTTGTGCATTGCATGCGCTGCCCAACTTACCACGGTCACTATATGGGGTGCTGCCCCTATCTCCCTGCCGGTGACAATTGTCCTCTATACTCCTTGAGGTCGCTTTGTCTGGGACCGCTGCACAGGAGAACCCTTATCCGGTTTAACATCGCAGACAATGACTACTATGGCAGTGACGGCCTCCGTGGAATTAGGCTTCAGTCAGAGTCCTCCCTTAAGCTTATCAGGAGCATAACACTAAAGGGCCCACCTTTAAAATGGCAGGTGACTTGAATGAGTCAGACTCTCCTAGAGGAGAGCAGGCAAGGGCACATAAGCGCTACTGGAAGGGTGAAGGCCCTGAACCAGTGACTTGAATGAGTCAGACTCTCCTAGAGGAGAGCAGGCAAGGGCACATAAGTGCTACTGGAAGGGTGAAGGCCCTGAACCAGTGACTTGAATGAGTCAGACTCTCCTTGAGGAGAGCAGGCAAGTGCGCATGAGCGCTAGTGGAAGGGTGAATGCCCTAAACCAGGCCCCTCTGCAATTGGCCAGATGGCCCTGCCTATATGGCACGGGGAGGCGATGACAACCGGATGCGGCAGTGACCACCTTCTTAACAAGGCAGATGACTAGAAGGAGTCGGACTCTCTGAGAGGAGAGCGGGCAAGGGCGCATAAGTACTACGGGTAGGGTGAAGGCCCTGAACCAGACGCCCGGAAAGATTAGACTCCGGAGAAGTGTCTAGCCCTGATACAATCGGCCTTTGACGGCCAGACGACACTGCCTATGTGGCGCAGGGGTGAAGGTCCCCGTAACGCCCCCCCAGTACCATCATGGCCACCCTAGCTAAATGACGAGCGGACCGGTTCCCCTCAGAGGGAGAGGATGATGGGGGTGTGGATTATGATGGCGGCCCCTAGTGACACCATGAGATGTAGAACAAAGTCCACTACAGGGCCCCCGACGACCGTGGAAGAAGAGGTCGTCTCGTGGATCGCCTTAAACGAACCCCTGTTCGACCCTCGATCCATTGCTCACCTGGTTTCTTTGGAATGGTCTCTGCCCGATCACCTGGCACCATCGGTGCGTTTCTCGGCTTGTAGACCGCTGGCTCGAGAAGCCCGCAGGATAATTTGAACAGTATACCCAGCCGGGCTCCCGAACAAAGTAGCTGCAAACCCAAACTTAGACCCCGATGGGATACTGCGGTTTTGCTGGTTATGCACCTGTCTAGCATTCAGGAGATCCTGAGTGCGGCCCACTGCAGTGCCTATACTAAGTCCGCACTGGCAAGGAGATTGTTTTCCGCTATACGAGTGAGTTGTGCTAGCGGATCATACGAGGAAGTATAATATGTGTCCTTTTCTACATATACTTGACGGAGGCTTATTTCAGCTCCAACCCGTACCTTTTATAGGGGATTGGACCCTTGACCTGGAATTTCACACTTGCCTCCACTTCCGGATGATATCCCAGACGGGGCCCCGAATCTATCCTAAACGCAATTTGGGCCGCTGGAGGTGCTTGGGAAAGGGATCTGAGCCCCTCGGAGTCCCAGCACGAGTCTATGATTGAATGTATATTCATTAGTTACTTTGAATGAGACGCGGCCCTCAAGAAACTTCTAGGGACCGCAGGGCCCAGTTCTGGTAAGGTGGCCTCTATTTTCTCCACAGCAAGATAGGTATCTTGTGCATCAGTAATTTGGGCAATAATACAACCTGGCTGGCAGGTTGGGAGGAACTGAGGACATTCAGGAATACCTGAACTATCTGAAGAGATCTTTCTTGTTTTCCACGCATTTGGACCCAGACACGACTCTTCATCGATATAGGACATCTTGCTGTACGGTCGGCCTGGACGAGCTTGCCGGACCCCCTGAGAGGTACCTCCCAGACCGAAAGGTCAGACGCTCTGTTGTGGTGTGACCTAAATATGAATATTAATCTCTTAATACATAATAATTAAGCAATACGGAACAAGATTAATATTTTTATAATTCATGGTATTATGGTCGAATATGTGGATAGAAAATACACAAAACGTTGTAATATTAAATGTATATTTAATATAACTATAATAAATAAACAGATGCTAGCGGAATGTCAATTTCAATAATTATACAATACAATACTACACAAAACACTATTGGTTGCTAAGGCTATTACAATTGCTAACTGTTACAATACAAACATATTACTTACAAGGCCCCAGCCAAAGGGCTGGGGCTAAGTCAGAGCTGGTGCTACATGATCAGTCAGGTACAGGCAAACAGAGAGCTCGCTTCTCCTAACATCTGGGTTTTATTCAGTGTAAGTAGGCTGGCCTGTGATGTCACTGCCAGAAGCACAGGTCTTCCTACACACTCCCCCTAGTGGTGCCCCCAAAGCATTACACTAAATATGCTTTACTGACATCTAGTGGTGCGTCTAAAGCATTAAGCTCATTATGCTTTTTTTATGACAAAAGTCATTAATTAATAAATACCATTACAAACCACCCTTTGACTTATGTCATAAAACAAACATTATAAACCCGTACATCTTGAATCTACCCTATTTTAACAGTACCTGCCCTACAACAAAACCCACCTTTTGAAGAATGATACCCATTTACCCGTAAAGTTATGACACTTTATTGCTTATTCAATTTTTTTATTTTTTTTTTCCTAAAATAAGCACATACCCACCCTTATAATAACCACTGAGCACATGCATTAGCAGTTGGGAAACCTTGGCCTTAAATAGGCAAATACCCACCCTTGTAATAATAGACAACTCAAACCATGTTTTATTAGATTAATCAATGATATTGTGTTCATGTGAGGATGTGTTTTGGAGCTTAATATAGTATTAGACACCACAAACTCATAACACCTATGAATCATGGCACAGACCGACTCGATTTCTGTAGCCTCTGGCTGGTCTGTGTGCCTGGAATTTTCACAAACATTAGTCCTGGAAACTGGATACTCTATTCTTCGACAGTCTCATAGAACATACGCATGGAGACAGGGATGAATGAAACAGTTCATGTGATCAAGGACTTTTGTGTGTTTGTGGTCACATTGTTTTGTTTTTTCTTTCTTTATACCATTAACCACCTTGACGTAACAGTGTCCTGCTCCTGATGCATTTGTTCCGACTCTCACCACTCTTAGCTGCAATATTTTTTCTCCTTACAGCAACAGTTGAGCATAGTGTCCAGTGCTTCTTCTTCTTCTGCTTAAAATATCCTTGCTTGAAAGTTCTTGAATGAAAACACAGGCAATGACGAACACAAACATAAATAATAACTGTGCCAATCATCACAAGTACCATTTGATTGTGGTGTCTTAACCATATTTTTTCCTATGGCGTTTGGATAAATACCTACACACCTCTCTTCACATCCAGCACACTCCTGATTCACAGATAAACACAATATCACTGCTGTATCTACCAATTTAACCCAAACACTCGTTATTACTGCTGCATTTACCAATTTAATCTAAACATTAACCAAAACAATTACATTCCTATTTACCACCCTTCTATTTAAACATGTATAGATAACCCAAAATGCCTACTTTCTCTTCTCCCTCTTATTTTTTTTGTTTTGTTTTTTGAACTGCAACCACTCATGCACTTTACACAGACACAAATCAAGCACCTACTGGACAATGGGGTTCCCTTGTTAGAGCCCTCCCACCCCAGTTTGGTTTACACAAAAATACCCCCTGGTCCCTATGGGTCAATTCCCCCCTTTCCCAGGCAAGCATACATACATACATACATACATACAACAATAATACATAAGGGTTTCAATTGCAATACAATCACTAGAAATAAGAGAATAGTATGCACAAAATCATAGCATAGACATGTTAAATAGACAATAAAATAAAACATTCAATAGCTCATCAAAGGTCAACATTTAAACACTGGTCTCCATTTGATATTCTATCTGTGTTCCAATGTCCACCCCTGGTTTCTGCTATATCTGAAAAAGGAAACAGATCAGGATTACTTTTCCTTGTCACTTATAGCGTATACTGCCAAATCCTTTACTTAGCATATATACATATATACACACACAGACATGTAAACACATTCCTTCAGCTTTTCATTTTATAAACAATTTGTTCAACAAGGTAACTTTCTTAATTTTTCTACTCGGCTCTTAAAATAACAAATTTCTAGCCAACTTAAACATGTTTAATAACTTTCCACCCTTTGGTTAAATTATAGAGGAGTGAACCACAACACCTCTTCCGCCTCTGAAAGGATATAGGTCAATATGTCTCAAAGTTCAACACTTCTGACAGCTATGAGTGACTCCCTATTAATTTCTAGCCTTTCCACGGACATGCTTGCACCTCGCGGCTAAGGGCCTGCACAACTAACCACCCTGTGATGGCAGTGGCTTTCCGCATGGGGGTGACCGCCCCCGCAAAATTATAGAGGAGCAAACATACAGCAGCCTCTTTTCCGGCTCGATTAAAGGTTCTGGGCCAATATGTCTGCAATTTAACCAGTACACTCACGTATCACTTATTGTATATTTCCTGGTCTCTCAGGAATTTCTATTAAATAGCGTATCCCCTTCCCAGGGCAATATACAACAAAAACTAGTCACCAAGGGTCTCTATGGTCATGATAGGCCACCCTACCACTAGTGTAATACGCCCTTTTTTTTTAAATATATTTCCTGGTCTCTCAGAGATTTTGCCTATCCCTTTCCCAGAGCAATATATATAAACAATTACAAATAAGTTACAAAACGCTACTTATAAGTAATACAGGGTTTCAAATAATAATACAGGATAGAACTGCACAACAACTGTTGGGTATGCTCCCCCTTATCCGGACATGTTTAAATACCCCCTAGCTCAGGTTCCCCACCCGCTACTGTAACTAAAATCACAGCCCACGTTATGGAGGTTCACCCGCTAGGCAGATACACCCTAATTCAAAGCATGGAAATATTAAAATCAGTTATAGATGGCTTCTAAAATAATATAAATCTTAATCTGAGCCCCTACACTTACTTTGTTAAAAATGCTAACTTGTTAAAATATTCAGACTAAATAGGACAAAGGAATTATTTTACCATTTTTTCAGTTCATTTGTTACCAGTTCCTGCATATGTCCAGTAATTCCTTAGTCCTGGATAATAAAGCTGAAAAACACTCCACAAATTGATTAGCTTAGGCAATTACATTTACAAAACAATGCAGTTTATTTTTTCTCATACAGGCAAGACTACCCACCCCCAACAAGGACAAATTCTCCCCCAGCTGTAGCTGAAAAGCATGGTCACACAGCTGTTAAAAAGGTGGTCTCTCCTTCATGAGTCAAAATCATATATATTTATACTAATATTCAAAGTATACGCACACATAAATCTATTATTCACTGAATCTGCTTTACTAAACGTATCTTTTTCGTAACTACTAATTTAATACATTTTGTCCAAATCTCTTTTCAACTAGACAAATCCATGAATGCCAAACAAATGTAAATTAGTACACAAACAGGGTCAAATTTAGCAATAAAACCTGGTGAACTAGTTTAGTGAAAAGTCTTTTCCTATGCAAATGGTAGCCAACAATGAAACTAGGCCTCAACTCATTCACACCATGTGGTCAATGGTGGATTAAAATCCACATGGTCAGACAAAAAGTAAAATTGTTTTTTGTTTTATATATAAAAATGACCAAAGGTTGGTAAAACGTAACAAGCAACACAATAATTCATCACTATGTTCTACAACAAGAGATACCTTAAAAACAAATATCTAATCCCTATCTGCTATCTGCATTCATTCCATTAAAACCAAATCATCATTCATTTATTCATTTGTGTACAGACAGACAATTTACAGTATGATTTAAGCAAAATGCATAACATTTATATTTTCCCCAATATTCAAGCATAATCCTGCCGACTACGCCAAATGTTGTGGTGTGACCTAAATATGAATATTAATCTCTTAATACATAATAATTAAGCAATACGGAACAAGATTAATATTTTTATAATTCATGGTATTATGGTCGAATATGTGGATAGAAAATACACAAAACGTTGTAATATTAAATGTATATTTAATATAACTATAATAAATAAACAGATGCTAGCGGAATGTCAATTTCA